GAAAGTTCATTTCCCAAATTGGTTCTACCGGGAATCGAACTCGGGACAAAGAATTACGGAATACACTTCGCGGCACTACCCAGAACAGCCTAAGCTAGAACCATTTTAGAAAAGTTCATTTCCCAAACTAGTTCTACCGGGAATCGAACCCGCGACCAAGAGTTACGGAATACACTCCGCCGCACTACCCAGAGCACCTAGGTGAAAACCATTTTAGAAAAGTTAATTTCCCAAATTGGTTCTACCGGGAATCGCACCCGGGACAAGGGTTACGGAATAAATACACTTCGCATCACTACCCAGAACAGCTAGGCCAAAACCATTTTAGAAAAGTTCATTTCCCAAATTGGCTTTACCGGGAATCTAACCCGGGACCAAGAGTTACGGAATACACTTCGCGGCACTACCCAGAACTAGAGCCTTCAACCAGAAAATAGTACTCCAACTTCAATTAAACTACTTGGTCTCGCTATTTAGTTTTTGACGCTTTTTAATGTTAACAATTTAGTTAATAAAGTCCCTATTTTCGAAAACGTATCATTGTGTACTTTGCGTTGGCATTTTGCGTATTGGTCGTAATCACTTTTATTTCTTTTTGTTATTAGCCTAAGTGTTTATTTACGTATTGTATAAAACAAATTTTATAATACATAAAAGTTGTACTTTCGATGACGCATAAGTAATTAGTAATTATTGACGTTTGTTAAATGCATTTAAATTACAGCGAATAAAAGTACTTGTTTTAATTTTAACTACATACTACTCTTTTCTACTTCTCTTTCATAAATGAAAATAGTAGCATTAGTTGTCAATTGATAGGATGTAAGATCGAATCAATGCATGATTTACCTGATACTTTCACTCTTTATGCTGTTACGATTTTAACTCTAAAATATTATTTAATGTTTATTTTTACGATGGTTTATTCTCGAATGTCTCTGAGGGAACAACAATGTAGGTATAGATGGCAAAAACACTTATGTACGACACGTCTGTATTCTCGTTTATAACTTATCTTTATTTGACTTTGTGTAAGTACAAGCGCGTAGTCGAAAGATGGCGTATGAAATTGTTACTACTGCTTAGAGGTCAAATCGTCAAAGTCATTCGCGACTGTTCAAGCATTAATGTAAAATTACAAGCTTACCATAGATCATTCTCATTTATTCTCATTCCCATTATTCTCTAGTTTTCCATCATAATAACCAGTAGTGTATTTTCTATATACCAGAATTTCCGCCCTTTCAAAAGCAAATAACGGAAAACAAGTTGATAAACATGGCTGCGACACTCGCGCTCAACGACTACGAGTTCTATGTCCAAGCATCCGCGCTGAAGTGCATCGGCTCCGCGAGCAAGATTTTGGTAATTTGGGAGGAGCTCCGAACGCAATACCCGGATATACAGGTACTTATATAAATAATAATAAACGCAACACACTCATAGCCCCGCCCTGGGGAAACCCTGTGTCGCGGGCGTCATGGACACACAAATATACCCAAACTCACGAGAGAAATAAATGTAGGCTATACACATATTTCTCCCAGTCTGGGAACTGAACCCAGGACCTCTGCGTGATAGTGCGGCATGGTAACTGTTCAGCGATGGAGGCAGTTAATGAAGGAGAATGCCACCATTTATCTATATTTGTATAAATATATTATATATTTATAAATATTTCAAAGTGGTATTCTTTACAGTACTTTGGTACCAATAACTGGATGTGTGTAAAGATGCTTTCCAGTATCAACTCGTATAATGCCCGCGCTAAGCCCCTACGACTGTCGACACAGTTTTAAAAAAGAACATCGAGTATATTGAACAATAACAATGTTCGAATTATTTTATGATTTTTCCCCGACTTGAGGGAGGGTTATGTTTTGCAAGTGTGTGTATGTATGTATAATAATAATAATAAATTTATGTCCATTTCTATGCTTCCCTGTACAGCCTAAACGCCTTGATGGATTTTGACATATTATGAAGTGTCGTTAGATTCGTCTTGATTGTGGGATTGTCATAGGTTATAAAAAAATAATGAAAATAGTTGGGGCAAATTTTTAAATCTTTTCAGCTAAATATTTTTGCAATCGGGTGTTTGTTGTTTTAAATAATTAGACATAGGTAGGTACAAGTGGTTTCTATAAAATTGTCATTAATCTTGCAGGAAAACTTATTATCCATTCTCCGTAACAATCAAGAAGGCATTGCTCGAAAAGAAGCGTGCAATGTCTTATGCTCCTTCTACCAAAACCTCAAATTGTCCACGACTTTCAAACAGACGCTTTATGAGCACATGGTGTCCTCAGCCCTTGCAGACTTCCACTGGGAAGTACAACTGAGTGCTCTTAAGTTCTGGCGAATGGTAATTCATTCTCTGCTAAGTGATCAAGGGATGTTGGATGGTACTTTTCCGCCGGTCACATTCTCGAGGGAAACACGGAAAATTGTCACATTAACCGAAACTGAGATTCAGAAAAGATTAATACGAATACTATACGAACTGTCCTCCATAGGCTGTCTTACAGTACTAGTCAAACTCTTGCATGAAGACACAGAACTGGACATCATGGAGACCGCACTCAACATATCTTTAGACATACTGAATATTTTAAACCAATACAAAGTTCCGACAATGCTGAAACCTGTTAATAATGACGTACATTCAATAGACGAGCTATTAAACAACATAGTTGAAGAAAACACCAATCAGGCCGAAGATATCGTAGAACCAGAAACTTCAGCCAAATCTGATAATGTTATCGATGAAATCTTAAAGTCCGATGATATAAATTTACTAGCAAATATTTACGAAAGGCATATGAATTTACAAGGTGAGAAAACGTTATCAACAAGTAAACCAAGGATCAAGTTGTTGAAGCGGGTATCCCCATATTTCTTTGTCAATCACTTAATAGGTACCGATTTTAAAGTCGTTGTGGAACAAAAGAAATCTTGGAAAATTGGTATTAGAAGTGTTTCATCGTTACTAGACGATGTGTTAGGGATATACGAAATTAATAATGAAATTAATTCAATGGATTGTTATTGAGATTTTTAACGATAGCCTAATGCAATAAAAAAATCTGTATTATAATATAAAAACTTTATTACTTAATGGTACATTGTATTTTTTTTGTATTTTACATGTCACCTTAACACTATTTAAGACTTAATTAGGTGTATCATAAAAAAGTGTACTTTTTCACTCATACACTCTTCAATATGTACCTACTTTGTATTCATGTCCTAAAAGTAAAAGGTCATCTAGCAAAGCATCTAAATTTCTTGGACCCGAATGCCATTTTTTTTTACTATCGATAATCGCTAAGTAATCGTCCGCTTTGAAACTTTGTATAAACTTGTAAGGATCGAAACATTGAACTGACTTTGTAAGTAAATTGTCACATTCTATCAAGTTTGCTTTCACTTTATTAGACTTGCAATGTAATTCTAACACTATATCTGCATCATTTGTATTCACAATATTTTCTATTACTTCGTCGCGATTATCTGTATTGTGCAATGGCGCACATAGGCCCATTTCAATATCGTTGGGATCAATGAAAAATGGATAATTGGTGTCGACATCCGCGCATCTCGATTTGCCTGGGTCAAATTTGATCCTATAGCAATCTAGTATTTGGATTAAATCGTTACTCACAGAATAAGCAAGTTCCATAACATCTATGTTCCATTCTTCGTTAAGACATTTGTGAAGAACAGTCAAGCATCCAATCGCTGACAGGTCGTTCATAATTGATATGAGAATTTTCTCGATTTCGCGATCATTTAACATTATTATTTTCCTTTTTTCCTTCGAAAAAGTCACTGATGGAAACTTTCCGTCGATCATACCCCGATTTGAAAACTGAAATTTTATCGCATGTCTCCAAAATTGCAGCGCTGCAAGCTGCACTTCCCAATGCAAGTCGTCCACTGCAGCTGTGCTCATCACCTTGTACATCATCTCACTTAAGCTGTGTGTGACCTTTCGGTTGACGTACAATTCAGTAAGGACATTGGCGGCTTCTTTCCTCACAATTCCTTCGGAATTGTTTTTCAAAACGTTGGCTAGTTCCTCCTGAAATAATTCAGTCTAAGTATGATACTGATTATTTGTTAAGTACTTATTTTAAAGTGTGCCTAATAATGATATAACAGACAACACTCATTTGGTTTCACAAAGAGTTTATACTTTAGATACCTAGTTATTTGTTGCTTTTAGCGTTCCTCAATAAATAATACAAGGCTTAAAGTGCTTTTCCACCGGCGAGGCGAGTCGAGACGAGGCGAGGCGAGAATTGAAATCTCGCCGACCTATTTCCACCAAAAATTGCCATCAATTATAAATAAAATTGCTGATCAATTCGTCAACGACTTGACGTTCCGCAAATTCTTATTTTAAATATGTTAACGGAAGAAGAATGGATGAAGATACTGTAAGAAGAAATAATCATGTTGTAATAAAGGTCAATGGTTGTAATATAAGCTGTTTGTACCCTCTAAGATAAAATAAATAAATAAAAATAACAAGAACTTTTTCGAAAATAACTTTTTTTATATAATCTTTTATCCCACTGCAAATATTACGAACTTGCAAAATACAAAAAAGTTTACAACTGGCGCTGGATGTTTACGTTATATTGTGTATATATATTTTTGAAAACGACACACGCAAAATAGGCGCTTTGTCGTCGAGTTGCGGATACCAGCCCGTTGCACCAAGTACCAAGTTTTGAAAACGATGCAATATTTTAAAAGTGGTTACATAATTATGATAAAATCACAATCCTAATCGTGTACATTTTAATGCAATTATAAATATATAAAATATGCATTTACGAAAATGATATGCATATGATATGTTGTTGTGTGTAATGATATGTTTGACACCAGGACTATAATATATTTTTCATTGACTGTAGTTTATATAAATACCTACCTAATAATAAATACCTTTTTTTAAATGGTGTCGTGATTATACAGATGATTATATATGTCTGAAATATCTAATATTGACATAATTTCTAAAATGTGTGAACGTTTACATTTCCCACATGCTCGTGCGATATCGTACGAGACATCGTGAATCGTGTTTCCGCTGCAGAGTTAATAAAGAATCTTTGTAGGTAGCAATACGGTTCAATGTTACATCAACAAATATTTAAATCCCGTTTCGCCCATCCTCGTCAATCCCAACCATTTCCACCAAAGATGCGCTAGGAGGGAATTCACAAGTTTTAAAAATCGTCTCGCGTCGTCTCGTTTCGCCTCGTCGGAGGAAATACAACCATTACGCTTCAGATACACACATATATATTAGGATATAATGCCAAGACGTCCGTCCATAAAACCTGGATCTTCGTCGCCTCTGCGAGGCATCGCAGCGCCGTGGCCTGCACGTAAAAGTTCTCATCGCGAAGCGCCAAGTGAGTTGCCGTGGTCACCAGACAGTACTCCGACAAGACTTTCTGTAGGGGAATGTATTCTGCAAAATGGAAGACTTGAGCAGGATTTCGAATATAATATTAGTGTTTAATTTAAAAAAATTAATGTTAATAAAAAGAAGGTACAACAACCAGTACAACTTAAGAGGTTTTGCCCTATGTCTATCATTTTTTATTTCGCAATTGCGATTCATTTCTAGATGAGAGACAGCCAGACCAAACTCTCCAGTTAAGTTTTCCGGGGTATAAGTAGTTAAAGGGTTGCGTATCAGTTAGTCTTTGTTCTAAATTCTGTTATAGTTTGACTGTTTTTATTTGATTAGATGAACGATAAGCATAAATTGCCTATTACTATTTCGACGGTTAGTGTATTACTTATGTAAGCCACATCCGTGCAACTGTGCACCAGTTGCAACGCGGAGTCCCTGATCTCCCAGTCGTCGTGCTGCAGGTACGACTTGATCATTTGTCCGATTTCGTTAAGTGTACTGCCGGCCCCAGTTTCCATCAGCAATGCCAGATCTGGCGAGAGGAACTTCGTGATGCTCAGTTCGATCAAAGTCAACACTTGAAGTTGTAACTGAAAACGTTTTGTTGCACAACTTGAAACTCTTCTTAGGTGTGTTTAAGTACAGGTGATTTTTTTTATCATTAACCAAATGTTAATATCATGATCGTTGACATTGACCTTAGGTCAATGATCGTAGATGAAAATATAACATACGGATGATTTAATTTTACGACCTCACAAACGTACCCAAAAGACGGCCACAATTTTAGACTTACTACACATAACACACCCCAGCCGATGCATTATGACTGTAACAATCTCCCGCGCGTCAGCACCGCCCACTGCCCGCACGCCACGATTAGAGTTCAGAACCGGGAAATCGTGGTCACGAAAGTACCGGGAATTCCCGGTTCGTTTATTGCCGTTGGAGAACCGGGAATTCAAAATTATTTCCCAGTTCGATACTTTCGGGAATCGGTGTCGATAATGTAGTTTCGGTTTTAATCACACCCCGGACACTCCATACAACAGTCGAAAATTATTTAACTACTATTACTACATACAGCAGGGCGCTATCTGCACACTATTACGCTACGTGGTCAGAGCAGCAACATAGCGAAGTTTCTAACGCGAATTTGTAATCTATAATTCTATTATAGAATCCTAATAATTACACGTGTTCATTACGTATTTATATCGTTATAATATTATATTTTTCATTAATTCACTAACTGGAATAATATTGAAGATTTATTTGAAACATAATAAAAGCACTGCACAGGGCACAGGTACATTTAAAAAAGGTAACCAAAGTATTTGAATTTGCGTGTCCAACTTTATCTTTACCTAGTTAGGGGAACGTGGGGTATTGGGAGCCCGCGGGTAATGAGAGCGGTATTAAACTAGACTTTCCCAGTGCTCGTATTTGTACAAACGGCACTCCTATGTGTTCGTTCGACAAGGTTCGAGTCGCGTGGGCGCCCCCGTAGAACCTCGCGTTTAGTAATTTGAGATGGTTGTATGGTTTTTGCTCCGCAGTTATAATATAAAATACAAAAATAAAAATATGTTATTTCTTCACTGTACATGGCATAATTCAGGGGCTGATGTTTCCTTTTAAGCTTGATAGGGCCTGTGTTAGGAAACATCGCTCTTCTTTACAATTAATAATTCAACATTGCTCTTAAGATGGTGTTATAACTATCTGTAATTTACTAATACATGAACCTTAATAAACTAAGACTAACCTATGTATGTGTTACTTTCGGTGTGTGTGTGTGTGTGTGTGTGTGTGTGTGTGTGTGTGTGTGTGTGT